GTGAGTGAGGAATTATTTGAGAGATAGGGAGGGAGGGATTGAGTGAGGGAGGGTGTGAGGTCAGGGAGTGAAAGGAGAGAGAGCATTGGAGAGAGGGAGGGAGGGATTGAGTGAGGGAGGGTGGGAGGTCAGGGAGTGAGAGGAGAGACTATTAGAGAGAGGGAATGAGAGAGGGAGGTAATAATTGAAAGATTAAGAGCATAAGAAAGAGAGAGAGAGAGAGGCAGATGGGATTGAGTGAGGGTGGGAGGTCAGAGAGTGAGAGGAGAGAGGGAGTGAGAGAGGGAGTGGGAGAGGGAGGGAATATTTGAGAGATAGAGAGGAGGGATCATTGAGAGTGTGAGGGAGGGAGGAGGATGGGAGCGAATTAGAGAGTGAGTGAGTGAGTGAGAGAGGGATTGTGTGAGTGGAAAAGGAAGGATTAGTGGGGGTGGCAGGTTGGAAGCAATGAAGTGAGGGAGGGAGTCATTAGGGAGGGAGTGATTGACGGAGGGATGGATCGAGTGAGGGTGGGAAGGAAGAATTGATGGAGTGAGGCTGGGATGGAGAGAGGGAAAGAAAAGATGGAATTGATTGGTGAAGGTCAGTGACTTGGTTCATTGTGTGTCATCGTACCCTGACAATGCGTGATGGTGCTCATACTGTCAATCACTAGTTTGTCTGGTACAAACTCAATTACTTACAGGCCACTGTTATATAACAGAGTGTAAACATTAAACTTAATATCATTTTGTAATCAACTCTGAACTGATTTCATAACTCAGAAAACCCCTATAAACATTATCAGGAATCAATACAAAGTTTGGAATGAAACGGTGATTACCCATACCAAACTTGAAGGGATGTCATAAAATTTCATATTTCATTTGACTGTCTATCTATTCCTAGCTTTTTCACGTACCCATGCCTCGTTAAATGTTTCAGCTTCTGCTAATTAACAAGAGCTACTAGAACAGCCACTACAATTCAAGTGGATTGTTTACTTCAAAGTAATGATAATTGCTTCCAACATGAGTCTCCATGTACCATAAACAAATACGATCTTAACGGAATTTGCTTAAGAATGATAAATGTTTTACTTTTAATTTCCATACGTCCAACAGATATAAAAATCTGCCTCTCAACCAGTGAGGTGAAATGGGTTTAAATGTCGCGTTCAAGATTCTTGCAGTTTTAGAGTGGAGTGTGTGTGCGTGTGCGTGCGGGTGTGGGTGCATGTTTATCTAGGACTAGTTGCACTAGTTCAGCCTAATGCCAGTTTAACAGTGCTAGCCCACCGAGATACCATGCCACAGTTTTAACACAAATACCCCACTCAGACACAGTATAGTGACTCCAAGCCTACCACAGTATAGTGACTTAATGCCAAGTGCCAGGCAGGGTAACAACAAGAACCATCTCTTAAAGTTTTTTTTAAATACGTGGCTGGGGATTTAACCACCGACCTCTCAACAGCAGCAAACTAAAATTACAGCAACTCCACAAGATTCCTGGCCTTTTGTTCGATACCCATTCATGATTAGTTCCAAATAGGTTCCTGTTGCAATAATCTGAATAATTGTCTACAATATATATACAACAGTACAACTGTTATAAGGAAATTTATCATCCAGGCAACTTTTTCACTAGTTATAATATCTGAGAAATCTATGTAGCACATGGCTTTAAATGAACAATTATATCACAAAAAAACCCAGTTATCACAAGTATCACTTAATACTTCCATATTAACTTGATGAAACAGGTTACAAAATGTAATGAATTATCACTGACAGGTCAAACCACTACTCTATAACTATGACAAGGAGTATGATGTATTTGTGGATAACAACTTCTTTATAATACACACCTGTTAGAGCTACTGCTTACCCATCATCACCTGAAAGGGCAAGAAGTAGCCTTGAAATGTTCTGAGTTTGGTTTTACGCCGCATTTAACAATATTCCAGCAATATCACAGCAGGGGACACCAGAAACGGGCTTCACACAATACACCCATGTGGGGAATTGAACCCGGGCCTCCAGCGTGACAAACACCGCTTTAACCACTAGGCTACCCCACTGCCCCCTTAAAAGATACGCAGGTCTAACAAGTTGGCAATCATTATACTCCTTGTCATCATTACATTCAACATCGATATGCCTATGAAGACTCCTGTACATTATAAGTACTGATAAAAGAGGAAATACTGTTTTTACTATGAAATAACGCGGACGTGAATGTCGCACCACGTAATGTGGTGTCTCCTGTTTCTGGCACTAATATTGGTGTCACACTGCTTCCGGGAAACACGCTAAAGAAAAACATACACAGATTAATAAACTGACGGCTACTCGTTTAATGCCAAGCTTAAAGACCAAAAAGGGTGTAACATAAACCTCAAAATTGAGGTCTCCATAAGGTACCAATATTCCCTTCCCAGACTGTCACCTGTGTTTGTGCGCAGGTGGGATCTAGACATTTTTAAAGGGTTGGGGGGTGGTCCATTCTTAACATTTTATTATATTTTATTATATATGGAATTTGCTGCCATGTGTTCAGAAATTTGGTTTTCTTTGACTAGTCCAAAGGACTAGCATAAAGGCCAGTGTAAAGGCAAGTGCAAAGGCTAGTGTAGAGACTAGCGAAAAGACTGTAAAGACTAGTCCAAAGGACTAGTGTTTTATTTTTCTAGTCCTCAGAGTTTGGAGTTTGTCCTACATGAATGAGACACAAATATTCACTATGTTTACATTTTCTGTCAGTTTTATTCAGTTTTTATTCAGTTTTATTATTGGTAGAAAAATGAAGAAGAGAGAACTGATTCAGAACTCAGACCTCAAGTGTTACAAGTCAATGAGAACTACCATCATTTAATTTTTAATTGTCCTCAGTCCTCCGCGCAAGCTTGTAGGCTGGGGCTAGTGGCCTAACATGTTTTCACCAGTATACTTAAAACAATGCCTGGGTCCCCTTCCATGCCACTACATCTATAGGGAAGTGAGGGAACCTCGCTACCATAAAACACTAATCAGTCATGCTATCTTGAGACAGGACTGGGGTTTTGTTCCAGACAAACATCATTTTGTGTCATGCTTTTAACACATGGTGATGCATTTATAAGACAGTGTGATGCATCATATTATGTTTATTGCTCCTGAAAAAAAAGGAGTAGGGAAACAATTTATGCTTTGTCTTGTCCAGGTCTATTTTGAGTTGACAATACCACAGCTATATCAAAACAACCATACTTAAGGTTTGTTTGTTTTAATGCAGCACTCAGCAATATGACGGCGGTCTGTAAATAATCGAGTCTTGACCAGACAATCTTGTGATTGACATCATTAGCATCGAGGATCGATGACATGCATCAACAAAGTCAGCGAGTCTGACCACCCGATCCCGTTAGTCGCCTCTTACGACAAGCATAATCGCCTTTTACGACAAGCACTTAAGGTACATGGTTGACAGCACAAGCAATGATCCTCACCATCAGTGAGTTTTGTTTGTTTTTTGGGGTTTAACGCCTCACTCTGCAATATTCCAGCCATATGATGGCAGTCTGTAAATAATCAAGTCTGGACCAGACAATCAAGTGATTGATATCATGAGCATCGATCCATGCAATTGGGATCCGATGACATGCATCAACCAAGTCTGACCACCCGATCCCGTTAGTCACCTCTTACGACAAGCCTAGTCGCCTCTTAAGGCACCATGAGTGAGTGAGTGAGTGAGTGAGTGAGTGAGTGAGTGAGTGAGTAAGGTATTATGCTGCTTGTAAATTAATCCAGCAACATAACAGCGGGGACACCAGAAATGGGTTTCACACATAGTAACCATGCGGGAAATCAAACCTGGGTCTTCTGTATGACCAGTGAACGCTTTAACCACTATGCTTCCCCATTTCCCATACACATCATCTGACTATGATGACACAATCAGTCATGTCACACATTGTTACCACTTGCTGTGTCTAGTCATGATTATAATGCTTCAGTTCGACACAGTTCAAGCAATCTCTTCATGTAAATTTGTTGTTGTCAACCTATTAATAAATATTTATTTTAAGGGCCTCTGCCAACAGGGCCAAGCATATCCATCACAATGATGGCTTGTTTACATCAAGCAGGATCATATTGTGAAACATATATTTTTTTAAGTCCAAGCTGCATAAATATTTACACATTAACATTTATTTGGCATTATTTCATAACAAACTTTTAGACAATTTAAATTTCGCTGAAATTCAAAACCGCAACTTTGCCTACTTAAATACATTAAAAATAACTGTCACAAAACTGAAAATGCAAATAATTTCATTTGTTAAAATAAAACTCATCAGTGACAATGACCATCGGACCATACAGAACCTTACACTGTTAAGTCCAATTAGGACCAATTTACAAATTGATTGCTAATTAGCAAGATGATTAATCTGCTTCAGTGACCTGTGACCTTAGTGACTCTGGTACTGTCTCCTGCAATCCTGCAGTGACACACTGAGCCACACCTCTGTGTACATTGGGATGTGTGAGTAAGGTAAATGGTGTTTAGTTCTACCAAGCAACCCGATATTTAGTGATGAAAAGTATTTTTTTTAGAATCAAATTAAAAGACAGAAGACACTCCTTTCTTCAGTAAAACCTTTCATCATGAAACAAATTTAAAAAACATTAAAATCTGTTTATTTTTGTTTTTCATTTTATCAGGTGATTTTTCTTGAATATTTACGCTAGCAATCATTGGAAAAGGGAAAATTAATTTTCTAATTAATTTTCCTACAGTATAATTAGAATTTTAGGAAAACCATGATAGACATTTTCCTGACTTTTTTCAAATGAAAAATGTTGTTTTTAATTAGGACAATGAAATATTTTTTGGGAAAAGTCCATCATAATTGAGTGCATTGTTTTCTTTGACAGAGTGGTTACAGAAGCTTCTGTTTATAGAGGTGCACGATTAACAACAGAGTTGTCACAGAAAATAAGCAGTATAGGCAAATAATCAAAAATACCTACCACAGACTGTACAAGACAGTGTATACAGGATCCCCACTAGCAAAATCTTTCCGCTCATAGTTACTTGAATAAGCTTTGGTTTGTCTGGCATATCATCAACACAAGGTATCACGTTTACAAAGACACATTTTGCTTGCAAGAATTACTCCAGGTGTGAAAACACAGTATATCCATGAAGAAACGGGTGTCATGCACACAAATCCAATGAATGAAACTGCGCCATAAGGGCTTGGCTAGTAAATCGTAGTAATATCCACTACCACTGATGACTTCACTGGTGAAAGAGGAGCTTTCATACTGAAGTGCCCTGGCTGAGTTCAGCTGAACATCGCAGTTACGTTAATCTAGTGCCCTCCCCAACCTACGTTCTAGTAAACTCGAAACGAATTCGCCTTGTAGACCATTAGCATCAACTACACATCACGTGTGTATTACAATCGGCGGTATTAGTATCATACATAAACAGAACATTATTTTGTATTGTTATATTAGTTGTATATCTAGTAAAGTGTAATTATTAACACAAATCAGAGGGAGTATGATCAATAGGTTCAATATTAGCAAACCCTAACTTACGACCAATAGGAATCGCCGTTTCTTTATACATGTAAACCAATTGTATCAACGCTTGTAAACCCATGTCGGTATAACATATAGAAATCAACATGGTGAGTAGGCTGAACAAAATTTTGTTTTCGTCGTTGTTATTTCTTGATTTAACGTCTCAATGCTTGATTATTTTAGATGTTTTATGACTTACCCCTTTCATTATCAATCCACAAGAAATGATATATGTCGGAATCTGCGAAAAATAATTACCAATCGCAGTGTGACAAAGCACATTTGAGTGTGAATGTATCCTATTTTCGTGCTATTATTTCATCTGCCAACAAAATGAAAATGAAGAAAAGTTCTATTTTGATAATAACTTAGATGAGTTATTTAGGTCATGTTTATATTTTACTTTGTTTTGTGATATCAGGACGGCAAAAGGAAACGTATTCACTATTTGAATGTCTCAATATGAAGTGAACGGAATGAATAATGATAGGGTTTTTTGGGATATTAAGATGTGACGAATAGGTTCTTGATTACATTATAATATATAACTGCAGCTGTCAGTGTTTGTTATGATTAAGCTTTGAAATCAAATTGATTTAACATGTACTTATGTTCGGAGTCATGTTAGTGATAATTGATGCTAAGGAGACCAAGGAAGAGAAATTACAATGGCTTTTCTCTCTCTGGACATGGATCTAATTCCTCAAATAGTGAAATGGATAATTTTGTATTTATATGACTATGAGACCAAATCCTGGGGGAATTGAATTTGTTGGCATTGGTTAGTCAGTCCTTATCAGCTGACTCACACCTGACATTGGTGAGTTGTAGCTGCCTGTAACAAAAACCCAGTCACCGTCAATTCATGAATGTGCATAGGAATTGGTTCAGATTTCAAGATTTTCTGAATGTCACTTGTTTTGTAGATGAATCAATAATAAATGAACAATGATGAAACTCCGAGGCACCACGAATGTCTGATCGTCATATTCATAGTTTGTTACTCAGAAACTAGATAATATGCCTGCCATTTTGGATTGAAATGAGAATTGAAAACGTGAACCAAGTTATATCAAATGTTTTCAATCTATTTCATTAGTGTTATTCAAAAGTTCATTTTATGGTTTTAGTTTTGGAAAGATTTAGGCCCGTAATCCCTGTTTCAAAGTTTGCCTGGGTAAGACAATCTTACCCAACCTATCTCACCCTAAATCTCACCCCAACCCAAATCCTACAAAAATGATGTTTGATACTCCTAACCAGGGGTTATGGCTTTGAAAAAATAATCAAGAAAGGGTTTGTTTTTTTCAGTGTTAGACACATGCTCTTTAGTTTTTCCTTTTTGCAGATAGTGACCACCAGTAGTAATTTGATTTAAAGACTGGACTTCAATGTGTTGTATTTGTCACAATGTCTTTTTGGCAGTCACTTTTAGTTCCTAATAACCATCATCTTCCTGAGGCACGGGAGTTAACGGACTGTAAAAGTCCAGTTTCCACCCTTGTCGAACTAGGCTGAAGTTATGGAGATAAATTTGTCACAATGTCTTTTTGGCAGTCACTTTTAGTTCCTAATAACCATCGTCTTCCTGAGGCACGGGAGTTAACGGACTGTAAAAGTCTAGTTTCCACCCTTGTCGATCTAGGCTGAAGTTATGGAGATATATTTTGGCTGGACTAACGAGTTTATGCCTAGTCCAATCAAAATTGCGTCATGAAATTCCAGCCTTGGCAAACTGGACTTTATAGTCTGTTAACACCTTTACCTCAGGAAGATGATAAACCACCAAGGAAAGTAGTCAAGGTAATGGATAAAATTTTTTTTTTTTTTTTTTTTATATAACAGGTTCCAATGAACTTAAGTCTTCTTTTTTTAGTGTGGTCTAAGAAGTAATACACATGCATGGCTCTTATAAACTTGCTCAATTGTCCTGCAATATAAATATTCAGTGAATGATTACTCTCAGTTTTTATACATTTGGTGAAACTCTGTAAACAAGTATAATGTTTGGTGAAACCATGTGAAGAAGCAAACCTGTTCGCACATTAGATGTGCGCACTGATACTTAAAAACTATATCATGATTATTGCAAAGATTCATATGAAGATGACGATAAATTGTGATACATTGTTGTGTACACATGTCTCTGAAAAGATGCCAAACTGGTAGCAAATACTTTTTTGACTACCTGATACACTGTTTGGCACTAATCAAAATTTGTCGGGGGCACGGGTGGCCCAGTCGTCTAAGGCGCCGCGATTCGCAGTGCAGAGTTGCGTCCCTTGGGCACGCAAGAAACCTAGGATTGTGGGTTTGAATCCCGGTTCGCCCTGATTATGTTTCTAGGTTTGTCAGCACCATACCCGTGCTCGTGGGTTTCACCGAAGTGGTAAACGTCGAAGACCTGCATCACTACGGGCTTTCCTCCCACATTAAGCTGACACGCCGTGATATAACTGGAATACTGTTAAGAGCGGCGTTAAACCAAACTCACTCTCGCACTAAAAATTTGTCACTGGTCCAAAGGGCCAGCACATACAAAAAATCTACTGGTCTTGTTTGATCTCTACGAGACACAATCGTAAAACAAGTCTTCAGCAACCTATGCTTGCCGTAAAAGGCCACTTACAGGATTGGGTGATCAGGCTCGCTGACTTGGTTGATGCATGTCATCGATCTGAATTGTGTGGATCAATGGTCATGATGTCAATCACTGGATTGTCTGGCATAGACTTGATTATTTACAGACTACATATAGCTGCAATATTGCTGAGTGTGGCATTAAACAACAAAGAAACAAACTCCATTGTGCTGACAAAAAAGGTTTTAAATCACAGATACTTTATCATGTTCATACAACAATTGAGCATGGGTAATTGGAATTAGAAACCAGTCTAGAAGGTGACCGCTGTACCACACAGGGTTGTTAGGTTTCTGGTGTTGCTTAGTTACGGGTCTCACCTCAGGCCTCCTAATTTATATTTATTGTATTTACAACCAAAAAAGGGCCTAAAATTCAAAGTATGTGGCCGAAGAAAAATAAATAATAATTTGCAACTTCCAGATTAGTACTGATGCTAGTTTTAACATGGCAAGATACCCAAAGATAATTTATTGTGTGTATTTTTGTTAGAATAAAGATTTTTATGTGTATTATTCACCAAATCTTATGATCAGCGGTGATAAAATCTCATGTTTTTTGTTTCATTTCACCTAATTGTAAAAATAGTCTGTTAAAATATAAATTGTCAGAAGTCATTTTATTGTTTTTCTTATTTCATTTTTGTTTAGTCAGGCAGTCTTGTAAACCAACTTAAAAAATATAAGGCCATAGTTATGTATTCACTAAAACATATGAAATATAAGTAGACGTGAAAGTATTGATCAAGATCAATACTTGTCAATAAGTTTTGCGATACATATTATGACACTTACTATTGCAGTACATCAATATTATGATGCATATTGTTACATTCCTATTACACATGTCAGATTATGTCTAAAATGCCGGTGTTGTTTTGGCATTTGATGGTTTAGATATTTTCATTAAAGTCTCATATTAATAAATTCTAAGATATTGCGATAACCTAGGACTTTGACACAATCTTAGTGAGAGTGGTAATGCACAGTGTGTTCACTAATTACACAGCAATGGTAAGAGGGCGGATGTAGGCTGCCGGAGGTCTACTTAAGGCCCACCAGCTTATCTGGAGCCACAATATCCTCACTGCTAAACTTTCCCTGTCTCAGGCAGGAGGGACACATATGAGTGTTCCTTGCAAACTGACAAAAGTTGGTTTTGTCACTAATCATGCTGTCATGTTATATGACAATTTACTGGTATTAAGTGGAATATTGATACAAATATCATTACAACCTGAAAATATTTTCTTAATTCGATTTTGTATTTTGTTAACATGGTTAATAGTGGGATTCATGAAAATATGATTGATTTAAAAAAAAAGTTTTTTGTGGCTCCTACTAGTCCTACTCTCATATTCATATACAATATATAGAAATACTTCATTTCATCATTACTGGTAAAAGGGGCCCAGTCGTCTAAGGCGCTGTGATTTGCTGTGCAGAGTTGCGTCCCTTGGGCACACCAGAAATCTATAATTGTGGGTTCGAATCCCGTTTCGCCCCGATTATGTTTCTAGGTTTGTCAGCACCATACCTGTGTTCATGGGTTTCACCGAAATGGTAAACATCTGCGACCTGCATCACTTCGGGCTTTCCTCCCACATTAAGCTGACACACCCGAGACTGCCTCTTTGGTCTAGTGGTAGAGCGTCCGCCCGGAGAGCGGAAGGTCCGGGGTTTGATCCCCGGCCGCGTCATACCAAAAGACGTTAAAACATGGTACTTGTTGTTACCCTGTCTGGCGCTCGGCATTAAAGGGCTAAAGCAAGGACTGGTCTGCTCGGAGTCAGTATACTGTGTTTGAGTGGGGTATTCATGTTAAACTACGGCATGGTATCTCAGTGAGCTAGCACTATAAATCGGCATCAGTCCGGACTAGTACAAGCAGCCACACAAACACACATACGTACATGCACGTCGCTATATAAGTGCAATAATCTTGGATGCGACGTTAAACCCCTTTTCACCTCACCTCACCTGACACGCCCGATATAACTGGAATACTGTTAAAAGCGGCATCAAACCCAACTCCCTCACTCATTACTGGTATGTATTGAAATTTTGATGTTCCTGTACCCTAATTACTGTAATAAGTGACCCAGGCACTTACAAAATTGACGAAGAGAGGGGGAGAGGGAATAAATTCACGTTCAAGTTAAG